CTCGCCACGCGGGGCTGCGGCGGGCGCTGAGCGGCTGTTGGCTCTTGCAGGGGACACGCGCGCGCCGAGATGCAGATCTTCGTGAAAACCCTGACGGGCAAAACCATCACCTTGGAGGTGGAGCCCAGCGACACCATCGAGAATGTCAAGGCCAAGATCCAGGACAAGGAGGGTGAGGGGCTGAAGGAAGCTGGGGCTCGCCTCGGCAGTCACCGCCCTTGGGGGTCCTAATCTCTCCTTGGCAGCTTTATCCTCCAATGGGAGTTGGACACACCCCATTTCTCTAATATGGGGGGCCGGCCCCCGTCTTTTCTGTCTTGATCCTGTCCTCTTTGTCCACCTCTGCTCCCCTGCCATGCACCAGGTCACAGGCGAGGGGACAGCTGGGCCACATTTCAGTGGGTGGCATTGTGAAAATGTTGTAGTCCGTGTTGGAAGTTGCAGTTTTTGCGACAAAATTGTGGCCTGTGATATTTTGACAGCTTTATAAAGAATGGTGCCTGGAGTACCTTCTGTCTGAGCTCTTGGGCTCTGCCCTCCTGAGAAATGGATGGTGGTGGGTCAGCTGAATGATGTTTACCTACCCTAAAATGCAGCTGCTAAGACATGGTGGTAGTTAAACACCTGCACAGCATTGCTGCACATAGGGCTGTGCAACTAAGTGCCCATGTGGTTCAGAGTGTAGTTGTAGCCATGATGGTCCCAGGACATTAGAGAGGCAAGATGGGTGAGGCAACTTCTGTTGCTCCAATAAAAGATACTGCATCACCCATCTCCTCTCTCTATTTGGTTCGGCTGCAAATTAAAAAAAAGTCATTTTAATTTGACCCAAAATATGTTTTGAAACTTTTTGTGGAAAAAAGTGTTTTTGTGTTAACCAAAACATTTTTGTTTAACTTTTGAGGAAATTCCAAAACAAAACTGAAATGTTTTACTACTTCATGTAGGAAGTGGCATTTCAGACTCTGGAATTTTTTTCTACCAAAGCAATTTGCCAAAATGACCCAGATTTGTGAATTGTTTTGATTGACCCGAATCTGTGTGTGTGTGTGTGTGTATATATATATATTTGGTGAGAAGGTTTTGCATAAAAGTTGTGGAGTTGACACAAGTGCCACCACCCCAGTAGTGCTAATCAAGACCTCCTTATGCTATGCGGCTGTCCTACAGCAGATCACTCCCCTCAGGCCTGCTGCCTCCC